GATCTACCATAATAGAATCACCCCCCGGTGTAGACACATATACAGGAGCACTCAAAGAATCACTAGGCATGACCAGATACGGTGCAAAATAAGATGACACATAGGAGTATGTAGATCCTAGATCAAATAGAATTGAAGCATCCCTACTACAAACTAGTACAGTACCTGTGATAACTGCATCAGAGGCCACAGCCTTAGGCCTGGCTGGAAGATCATAACATCGGGGTTGGGCCCCACCACTCTGAGCTACATCTCTGGGACGGCCTCCTGCTGGCTGGCCTCCACCTCTAGCAGCCTGTCCTCCACCTCTAATACCTCTACTTCCACCTCTAGCACATCTACCTCCCCCTCTAGCTGGCTGAGCGGGTTGTGGAACACTCGGTGCCTGAACTATGGCACGGGAACCCTGATGCTGAGAGATGCTCGATGCTCGAGGGCAAAATCTAGGAATATGCCTCGTATCGCCACAAGTATAACAAGCCCTTGACCGCTGAGACTGCTGACCCTGACGGCCTGAATGACCACTCTAAAAAATCTGGAGCGGCGGTGCGCTAATAGGAGCTGGTGGTGCACTGTAGAACTACTGATCCGAATACTGCATATGAGAACCATGGCCACCTGAAGTGCTGACTGAAAAGGCCTAGGAGGATGGCCTCTACCAAAAGAATCTCTACCTCTAGATAAGGCACCATTGAACCTGCCCTAATGACGAGGCCTCTTGTCATACCCCTGACCACTCCCCTATGATAGAACCATCTCCACTCTCCTGGCCACATTGGTCGCATCCTGAAAAGAAATCTCGCTCCCCGTCTCCTTAGCCATCTGCAGTCGAATAGGCTGAACGAGTCCCTCAATGAACCTCCTCACTCTCTCTCTCTCTCAGTGGGAAGTATAAGAAGAGCATGACGGGTCAAGTCAATGAATCTGGTCTCTACTGAGTGACAGTCACAGAACCCTGCTGGAGACGCTCGAACTGCCTCTGATAGTTCTCCCTCTAAGTGACAGGAAGAAACTTCTCCAAAAATAGTTGAGAGAACTGATCCCAAGTCAAGCTGGTGACCCAGCTGGTCTAGCCAAACAATAATCTCTCCACCAAGTCTTGGCGGATCCAGACAGTCGAAAAGCAGCAAAGTCGACCTCATTGGTCACCACTATCCCCATGTTCCGAAGAACCTCATGACAGCTGTCCAAATAATCCTGGGGATCTTCAGAAGATATACCGCCAAAAGTAGTAGTGAACAACTTGGTGAACCTATCCAACCTCCACAAAGCATCGGCAGACATAGCTGCCCTCTCGCCAGTCTGAGCTACCACACCTGGCTGAACTGCTCCAACTGGCTGAGCTGCTGGAGTCTGAAACTGGGGAGCCATCTGCTCCGGAGTGTGGGTAGCGGGATTCTGTGCTCCTCCCCCAACCTGAGAGACAGCTGGTGCTATAGGAAGTAAGCCTGCCTGAGTGACACTCTCCATAAGGCACACTAGACGGATCGAGGCAAGGGCAGAGCTCAGCCCAGAGCAGCAACCCCAGTGGCGGAGTGGCGGAGCCTCAGGTTGAGTTTGACGAGGAGGTTCCAGTCTAGACAGTTCCAGCATGACCAGCTCAGGTCCCAAATGGGTTCATTGCTACCCCGTACTCCAGGATGCTCTGATACTAACTTGTCACGATCCGGATTTTCCACCCTCGGGAGTCGTGATGGCGCCTACTAATGAGAGCTAGGCAAGCCAATTATTCAACCATTTTCATTTTTGTTTTTACTTATTAAGGGATAGATTCGTGTAATTCTATTCAGACCTTATTTGTAGTATTCTTAGACAGTCTGTGAGATTGTGACACCAATTCTAGGTAGCTTATGTTATGGATTAATATTGGTATTATTATTGAATTGTTACACTTCATTCTTCCGTCTTATTATTTCCGCTGTTGACATCATGTTTATTCATAATTGTTAAGGGATTAAAAAAATGAAAATGGTTGAATAATTGGAATAATTGGCTTGCCTAACTCTCATTAGTAGGCGCCATCACGACTCCCGAGGGTGGAAAATCCGGGTCGTGACAAGAACCTTCTCACCCACCATGTAAGCCACATCTAGAACCTTCTGATCCGCATAACTCTTATGACTTGACTAAGCTGTACGAAGTCGCTCCTGAATCACCTTAACCTTCTCCGTAGCATCACGAACCAAATCAGTGCCCAATAATCTAGCATCTCCACGCTCAAACTAACCAATCGGTGAACAACATTGCCTCCCATATAAGTCCTCGTACGGAGCCATCTGGATGCCCGATAGCTATTGTTGTAGGCAAACTCCGCTAGAGGTAAGAACTGGTCCCATGAACCTCCGATGTCATTACATAGGCACGTAACATATCCTCCAAGATCTGAATAGTGCGCTCTGACTGTTATCGTCTGAGGATGAAACGCGGTTCTCAGCTCGACCCGCGTGCCCAACTCACATTGCACGACTCTACAAAAATGTGATGTAAACTATGTGCCTTGGTCAAAAATGATAGAAATGGGTAAGCCATGCAGGCGGATAATCTCACGGATGTCAATCTGAGCGAGTCGCTCTGAAGAATAGGAAGTCACCACCAGAATAAAGTGTGCAGACTTAAACAGCCAGTCCGCCTGAAATTTGACATCCGGAATCGCCGGAGTTCATCAACCAATATCCGTCAGAAAAAGAAGAAAAAAACTTGCTTTAGTGGTCGGATTGCCTTCATTCATCGCTTCTGGTGTCGTCCCCGGTATTTGAGCTAGGTTTTGGATGTCTCTCAAGGCTTGCGTATAAAAACCTGTCCTTTTTCCCTCTTTTAATATCTGTAATTAGGATAGGATAACTTCTATTTTAATCTCTGTTAGTCTCTGTTTGCTTAAGTTCATGTGTTGGTTAATAAAAGCGTATGTTCGGTTAGTTTAACTGCTTACTATTACATCATGTATTAGCTAGTTCAAGTTTCTTCAATCATTTGTCAGCTTGCTTTGTTAGTTTAATTTGTTTAGTTTCTTATTAGTTAGTTGATCTGTTTTGTTCATTGCCTGATTAGTTTATGTACATTAAGAATCATGTTTTGTTGGATTATTCATTGTCTTGACTCATTATTTTAAATCTTTGCTTAGTCTTTTGGGCGTGAATAAACGTTATGTGTTAGTTCATTAATGGGTTACTGAGTTATTTGTTGGGACTTTTACCTAGTTATACTATATAAGAAATTTATTTATCAATGTTCTCTATGTTTTGTAGTTTTTAATAAGTATGTAGGTTTTTCTTACAGATTATGTAGATTGCTCCTTAAAAGGCTCTCACCCCATTATTAGTGCCTTCAATTAAGGGATTCAATTATATCCTTTCCTTTTTTTCCCCTCCTCTTCTCTCTCCTTTTTTTCTACAACAAAATTCCTTAATCTACGCCCAGAATCTCCATCTTCTCTCTTCCCACCTTTACTGATAATTTTATATTATTAAATCATCAATTGCATCGTTCTTTTGCTGGGAGAACGGACAACACTGAAAATGAAGAAATATTCAGGAATTGTATGATATATGTATCATAATTGTATTTAAATTGTATCAGATACATCAATACGTAAAACGTAATTGTATCATGCTTGTATCACAATTGTATATAACTTGTAGATGGTACATTAATATCCAAAATAATACCTGATACAATACTAATAAATTAATATATAATTATCACATATTTGTGATACAAACTGTGAAATTCGTCAAGATCTCACAGTTGCTCATAATTCAAATACAAATTTGATACAATCCTGAAAGAATTCTTAATTCTGATACAATTATGATACATCTTAAAACCGACTCTAAACTTAAACTGATACAATATCGTATTATACTTGTATTAGTATTGTATCATGTATTATTTTAGGTAAAAATTGTGATACAATTCTAAATTATGATACAACTTTGATCTTCATCTTTTTCAAGTTTCAATTTAAAACATCCACCTAGAACCAACTCTAAACTTAAATTATAATACAATATTGTATTTTAATAGTATTAGTATTGTATCAGAATTGTCTTAGATATTGATGTATCAAATACAACTCAGATGCAATTATGATACCTTATCATACAATCGTAATACAATTCCGAAACTTCATCTTCCTCGAGTTTCATTATGAAATTCAACCTAAAACCAACTTTAATGTAGAGTAAAGCTTACCCACAGCTTGATTTTAGAGCAAATCTTCGAATTTCTTCTATATTGTATAAATGAGAAAGAGATTTTGGACGACTAAAGAGAGAAATCATATATCAACAGCTTTGGAAGAGGAAAGAATCTGCAATTTTGGGGGGATAACAGTGGAAGAGGAGTGAGTAAGCGAGATTTTTGGGTTAGAAAGATTATGGGTATCAATGGGTTTCTGGGTACATACAAAGAGAGGTGATGATTTTGGGGTTCAGTGGGTTCTTACGGTGATGATTTTGGGTAAGTACAAAGAGAGATGATGATTTTGGGTAAGTACAAAGACAGATATAGTTTTCCTTGGAAAAAGGAAGAGTATCTTAAATATAGGTGATTATGTGTAACTGATACCCAATATTTAAGGTATGTTCCATTTTCTCCTTTTTATGATTTTGTATAAAACTAGTAAATATAGATATATAAAGTAACTAATAAGGAACCTAAATAAAGGTAGTAAATAGATTTCTATTATAGTATAGACAGGTAAAATCCGTTGTCTGTTTGCTTAATGGGCTTAGCCCAGATTCACATGTCTGGCCTGTTTGTTTGAGGTAGTATTGAAGCTGCAGATGTAAAAGCATAAGAGAGTATTAGGGGGTAAAATCAAAATACCAAAATTTGTAGTACAGGCCTGGGAATAGCCCATCGGTCAGTATGCCTAATATTACAATTGAGTGAAGGGCAGTTAGGGGATATGCTCTGTCACTATCCAAAATCTATCTAGTCTTGATGGTACCTGACCCAAACCCTCTAAATAAGCCAAGTAACATCAACACAGCTCAAATGACAGTACTAAAAGTAAATGAGTAAAATAACTGAGTTTCTATACAATCTCCCAGGATTGGTAGTGAGCTTCTTAGACTTAGAATTTAAAAAGCTAGTACGTAATAAATACATTATCTGTTCGAAATATACATACTGCAAATTTAAAGCTACCAAGGACACGTGGCAGCTATAATTGGAATTCATGTACATCTTAAATACCAGCTCCCGCCATACACAGCATCAGCAGCTCCAGGATCTGCACGCAAGGTACAGAAGTGTAGTATGAGTACAACCGACCACATGTACTCAATAAGTAACAAACCTAACCTTAGATTGAAAGCAGTGACGAGCTCGAAAAACCGTCAGAGTCCAACACCAATAACCAATAACAACTTGTAATAATACAATGAGAATAGTAAAGGTAGATAACTCAAGAGATATATGCTCAACTCGTTCATAATTACGGAAAAAGTAGGCATGCTTTTTAAGTAAAACAGTCAATTCCAAATCTCACCATTGGAAATCAATTAAACATGAGTTTATCAAAAAGAAATATATTCCCAATTCACAACACTAGATAAGAATTTCCGTTTACCAAATAGCATGAGGAAAGTACATCTCTATGCCTACATGTCAATGTACATGTCAAGTCATCAATTATCATATACCGTCTAGCATGAGGAATATATATCTCTATGCCTACGTGTCAAATCATAAATGTCACATTACCGTCTAGCATGAGGAAAATGCATCTCTATACCTACATACCAAGTATGCACGACAAATGAATGATTTTACGGTGATATCCCAGGTACTCTTACCCTCAACATACTCAAGTTGTCTGTCTCAAATGCTCACTTCATCAGACACACAATCACTCAGCACTGTATGGGTTCCTGGATCATAAGCCCCTCACCAAAGTACGTGTATATATATCACCGTGCCTTCGCTCATTGTTGATATGTCAGACTCCGAGGGGTGGATCCTGTCCAAGCGCTAATCAAAAGCCAATAAGACCTGCTACGACGTGTAGCCAGATCCAAAATAATAACAAAGCCCATAAGGCCTGCTGCGTCGTGCAGCTGGATCCACAATAATAAAAATTAATAGTAAAATAGTATGGCCTACTATAGCGTGCAACCTGACCCAAAACAACACTATCAACACGGCTCTACGACCCACCTTAGTCATCAACCTCTCAAGTCTCAAGGGCTCACAATCTCATATCACTCAATCCAACAGCACCACATATGAGAAACAATGATAACATGCAATATCACAATGAATGATGATCGGAGACTTAGATATAATATGCAAATAAAGAATCATGAGAGCGTATAATAAAATTCAAATCATATAGCCCAAAACAATAGAAATAGCCTCAATAGGTCTCAACCAAATAATCACATAGCCAAAACATGACTTCTAAAATGAACCACAGCTCAAATAATCAAACAAGTAGGGAGAACACGGATATAACAAGATATAACAGCAAAACAAGTCCAGTAATAGTCTAAAAGTGAACTTGAATCATGATTACGCCGGTGCACGTTCAAACGCCCATCACCTAGCACGCGCGTCACTCCAATAAATCTCATATAACATAGTTCCCGGGGTTAAATACCCTCAAATCCAAGTTTAGATATATTACTGACCTCGAACAAGTCAAATTAAATACTGAGCAAGCCAAACAACACTCTAGAAATGCCATCCCATGCAAAACAACTTCCGAACGGCTCGAAACTAGGCAAAAGCAACTCAAAAAATCGAATAATGCCTTAGGAAACAAACCTAAGCAATAAAAGCAGAATCTTTAATCAAAATCTCAAAGTCAACCAACAAGTCAACCCATGGCCGCACTTCAGAACCTAATAAAACTCATAAATTCGGATAAGATATTCGAATATCAGTTCAACCATAATAATTTTATCCAATTCCGACTCCGAATCGCTGTTCAAAACTCAATTATTCACTTTAAAAAAGTTTTTGATAAAAATCCCCAATTCTCTAATCAAAACATGGATTAATTCACAAATTAACTACTGTAATCATGTTAAAATAGAAAAATTGAGATAATATACTGACCCCCATGAATATATGAGAAGAACGCCACGAAAATCACCTCAATCGGAGCTCTAGAACTCAAGATATGCTCAAAATACCAAAAGAATGCAGTCTGATTTTTCTTTATACACAGGCATTTCCGCTTTTGGGCCCAAAAAGTTGCACCTGCACATTTTCAGCTGTCATTTTCGCTTTGCCGACCATTTTTCGCACCGGCGGGGTCGCAAATACGGATCCAACCTCGCACCTGCGAAGCACCAGTACCAACTTTCTTCTCCGACGCTAAAATGAGCATAACTCCCTCATACGATGTCCAAATTTGACGATTCTTTTTGCTATGACTCCATAATTACGACACAGATATAACGCTTCAGTAAAAACAGAATTTCATGCTCATTTGATTAATATGGTACCATTTATGCTTGAACAAATGACGTCGTAATATCATAAATGAGCATAACACAATCCAAACCTATCCGAAACTCATCCGAGCCCCTCGAGACCCCGTCAAAATATATTAGTAAGTCCCAAAACTTAATACAGACCTACTCAAGGCCTCAAATCACATATAATAACATCAAAACTACGAATCTCACCTCATCAAACTTAATGAACTTTTGAACTTTCAACTTCCAAAACTCGTGTCGTATCATATCAAATCAACTCGGAATGAACTCAAATTTTGCAAACAAGTTCCAAATGACATAACGAATCTATTCCAACTCCCGAAAAAATAATCCGAATCCAATATCATTAAAGTCAACTCCCAGTCAAATTTATGAACTTTCCTAACCATTAAATTGCCAACTTTCGCCAATTATGGCCAAGATCTTCTAGAAGCCTCCAAATGCAAATACGGGAGTAAACCCTAGTCCAAAAGAACCATCCGGACCTAACTGAACTGTCAAAACTCCGATCCGGGGCCAAATACTCAATAGTCAAACTTGATAAACTCTTCCAACTTAAAGCGCTTCTAAGATGAGAATCAATCTTCCGAATCATTCCCGAATCACCCGAAAATCGAAACCGACGATAAACACAAATTGTAATACATCATATGAATCTACTAATGCCCTCGAGCCATTGAACTGAATGCAAATGCTCAAAACGAACGACCGGTTGGGTCATTACATTCTCTCTCACTTAAACATACGTTCCTCCCCAAACGTGCCAAAATTCGTTCCAAAGCCATCAAATCACTATGTATGTCACGCCCCAAACCTAGGGGGTCGAGACCGGAACTACCAAGCGCACCAACTTGAGACTGAGAGACTCTGAACATAGAATTTCATACTTTGGCCATAGGACCACATTGCCAGTCAATTTGTGAAACAAAATATAAAACTGAATGGAAACTAGCTCTGAATGAACATCAATATAAATCTGAGCCAACAAGGCCGTCGTAACTACTACAACTAACAAACCAACACAAATATACATACAATGCCTACAAGCCCAACATACGGTACTAACTGACATGATATGTCTACAAGCCTCTAGTGATGGATGTACTATGGTCGGACCATGGCCCCGACCTACCCATAATATATATACATATATACACAATATTTACACAAAACCCTAGACCCGACAACTCCGAAGGACGTGGAGCTTATCGATCAAGCTGATCACGGGTAGCACCTACGGAGGAGGTCTACCAATCTACCTATTCGAACCTGCATGCATGAAATGCACCGTCCTCAGGAAAGGGACATCAGTACGAAATAATGTACCGTGTATGTAAGGCAATAGAATAACTGAAAGCTGAAACTAAACTGATAATATAATAATTAAAGTAACTCGGAGCCAAAGATGATATGGAGGTATACTTACCTACTGATTCTGACTCAACTCTATCAATATAGTAAGTAAAATAGATGTCCGGCCCTATAAGGCTCAGAATGTGTAACTGCTCGGTCATAGTAGGCTCGCTCATAGGAGCTCGACCATACTAGACTCGGTATCTCGGCCAGTCTTGACTCGCTTATAGGCACTCGCCCACACTAGGCTCGGTATATAACTTACTATCTGATCAGAGGTTTCCCAATAGGGGCCTGCCTACCGATTATAGCTCGATGATGGTGAAAATACTGTAATACTCTATATATATATATAGACCCTCTACTCTCTTGACTGAAAGAAGACAAATTTAACTGAATATAAAGTCCCCATAAGGGAAATACTGTAACTTATGAGACTAGGATAATGTACATAAATTCAGGAGTACGAACTTCTTTTTATGTCTCGCCGTTAACGCATGTAGTTACAAGATCATGCCAAAATAAGGAAGGGTATAACCTTAACATACCTTATCACAATCTTTCTAATAACCACGTTGAACTTGCCTCTTCGCACCTTAATTTGAAACAACGATAATAATACTATCATTAAGTTACGAAAGGTATAACTATTATATAATGAATGACAAGCTTATTTTATATTAAAACGGGCAGCATCTCCCCTATAATCCTTACTTCCTCCCAATTCGAGATAACACCAACAATATAAGAACACAACAATAACAACATATATACATTATTTTCCAACCTTATATACACCGCAAAAATACTACAAAACAGCCCAACACACTCCAATATCTTCATACATAAAACGACCACCGCAGTAGTGTCAGACAACCCGAAAATGTTACGACGAACGACCAGCCCCCCACCCTGCATTTATGTGGTGTTTCTCCACACCCTTTCTCCTCCAAAACTCCATAAACTAGTAGCAAAACACGCAATCCAACAACAACATGAAACAACCCACAAAATAGTCCGCTACAAGTTAAATAACTCGAACTCACTACTTCTGATCACCATTCCGTGAGTTCTTACAATTATAGAACGACTTTTCATACATTTCCAGCAAAAAAAATGGATGAAAGAGTGAATTAAACTTACCTTATTTGTTGAATACCTCAGCTCCTATCTTGGTTCTTCAAACCCTAGGTTTTTCCTCCAACTAGAACTTGAAAAGGAGAGAAAATCAATTAGGGTTGGCGTGCAGTTTTTGGGAGGATTTTTACAGGGGCTTATGTCTGGTAATTTTTCTATATAATGAGTGTTATATCTGCAGATAAGCCCTTAAATAGGCTCTTTGGCCGACCCGAAATAGCCCATTTTTGGACATATTTAATCCTCTCATTTAATCAAGTAGGTGATACACCTACTTGTTACCTAGCAGTCCCTGCAGTCTCGCAAAAATGCATATATCTCACTACTCCAATTTCATATTGACAAACGATTTAATGCGTTAAAAAGTAGGCTCATAGATCTTCAATTTTATGGGTCCGTATCTCTAAGTATATAGGGAGAAAATCCCAGTAACATATGGCCCAAAATTCAGTAAAACTCATGAACGTAACTTGTGATGACTTTCATCGACTTTTGTTCAACAACTCGCTTGACTTAGAAACTTAACATATGACTATCATAAGACTAAAATAAATCATAACATAACCCTCTTATAATGTTAAGAACCCTAGTCTCGCCCCAAAGGTATGTGTTGTAACATTACCAACTTGTCGACTTCGACGAAAGATTGTTTTCTTCAACTCCTTTATCTTCTGAACCATCCAACCCTCTTTGTACTTGTTGTTCATGATTTTCAATATTTTTAACTCCGAGGTAACATGACACTTACTTTATATACATTCAAAGATGATCTCATTTTTGGTCTTACCTTTGTTTGCTTACGACGCAGTTTTTATGTACGAAAATATGGTGTTTAACATCATCCCCCCCCCCCCCCCCCAGGAACATTCGTCCTCAAATGTTTACTCTTAGAGACTTGGAAAATTTTTGCAAGAGTCTCCTCCGTACACTAGACTAAAACCAACCTGCATGCAGCAAAAAAACATACTATACATGCCACACATGGCCAATGTCCATAAATAGCAACACTTGGCCTCACACGACTGTCAATCATAAATATTAAAAGTCAAAAATAAGAGCTTAACTGATGACCTACTGGCCCGAGTAGAGCTGTGCTGAAGTATCCCATCTCGAGCCATATCTTCAATTTGAAATAGGTGGGGGTATTTAGATTTCATCTCTTCCTCAGCTTCCCACGTTCTTGCTAAATCTTTCACGGAGGCTACCTCCTTATTTCGTAGCTTGCGAATTTGTCGGTCTAGGATGGCATCTGGAACTTCCTCGTACGATAAGTCCTCCGTTTCTGTACATCATTAATGGGCACCACTCGGGTAGGATCCCCAATGAACTTTCGTAACATAGATACGTGAAAAATTGGATGGAAAGACTCCAATTTCGAGGGTAGATGAAACCCATATGCTACTCGGCCCACTCTTCGAATAATCCTATAAGGTCCAATATAACGTGGTCTAAGCTTTCCTTTCTTGCCAAACCTCATCACGCCCTTCATAGGCAACACCTTTAAAAATACCCAGTCTTCAACCCTGGACTATAATTCTCATCGTCGCACGTCAGAATATGACTTCTGACGACTCTGAGCTGTCAATTGTCACCCCTGGATAAGCTTTAATTACGCTTATACAAAGCCTCGTACGAAGCCATCTGGATACTGGATTGGTGACTGTTATTATATGAAAACTCGATAAGAGGTAGATGCTCATCCCAACTTCTTTTAAGATCCAACACATGCTCGTAACATATCCTCGAGCGTCTGAATTGTGTGCTCGGCTTGTCCGTCAGTTTGTGGATGAAAAGTTGTGAAATGACCTCCAAATATGTGTTGTAAACTAGGGTCCATGATCAGATATAATATATATTGGTACTCCATGTAGCCGCACTATCTCCTTAATATATAACTTTGCATAATCTTCAGCTGTAAATGTAGATTTGATCGGCAGAAAATGGGCTGATTTTCTGAGCTTATCGACTATCACCCATATAGAATCGAACTTACAATGAGAATGAGGCAAACCTGTGACAAAGTCCATGTTTATTGCCTCTCATTTCCACGTTGGGACCTCTATAGTCTGGTGCTCTACCTTTACCTGTGGGCAACTAGGACACTGGGTGAGAAACTCAGCAATGTTCTTCTTCATATCGTTCCACCAGTACACAACCTTAATGTCATGATACATCTTCGTATGACCCAGGATGAATGGATTACCATGAATAATGTGCCTCTAACATAATGTTGCCTCGTAGCCCTGCTACATCTGGAACACAGAGATGACCCCTGTATCTGAGAAGCCCATCTCTCTTGAGCTCTAACAACGACTTCTTCTGCTACGGAACTCGCTCTCTTAACTCAACCAACGCTGGGTCCTCGTACTGCCTTTACTTTACTTCAGCTATGAGAGATGATTTTGCAGTATTTTGGAGTACAACTCCACCATCGGCATAATCTACAAACCGAATCCCCAAACAATCTAATTGATGAAGCTCTCTATCTAACTCACTTTTCTCAGCCTCTACATGTGCTAAGCTACCCATAGATCGGCGACTTAAGGCATCTGCTACATCATTTGCTTTCCCTGGATGGTAGAGAATGTTAACGTCGTAATCTTTCAGTAACTTAGCCATCGCCTCTATCGCAAATTCAACTCTTTTTTCTTGAAGATATATTGCAGGCTTTTATGATCTATAAATATATCCACATGAACACCTTATAAATGGTGCCACCTATATCTTAAGTGCATGGACAACTGCAGCTAACTCGAGGTCGTGGTTCGGATAATTCCTCTCGTGATTCCTCAACTACCTTCAAGCGTAAGCAATTACCTTCCCATGTTGCATCAGGACACATCCCAAGCCGACACATGAGGCATCACAATACACGACATAACCCTCTAGACCCTCTGGAAGTGTTAGAACAGGCGTTGAGGTCAACCTTGTCTTAAGCTCTTGGAAACTCCGTTCGCAAGCCTCTATCCACTGAAACTTAGCTGCTTTCTGAGTCAGCTTCGTCAATGGAGCCGAAAGGGAAGGAAAACCCTCTACGAACCTCCGATAGTGTAAGCACGTGATTTTTGCCCTATACGAAATACTCCTATAAAATCCCCATAAAATAGATTTTTGTCAAATATTCGCCATTTTAGGAATTTTTATAGATTTTTATTAATTATTTGCATTTCTTGCATGTTTATGTTTTATTTAAATCATGAAAAATACCAAACATATCACTCATAGCATTTATGATTTATTTTTACATTTTTAGAATTAATCATAATCATTTGTTTTATAAAAATTTGAAAATCACAAAAATAGCTCATTTTTACATTTTTTGTCTTATAATTTTGGTTTATTGATTTTTCACTTTTAATATATAGATTTAAGTGAGGTCTATAATTTTAATAATTAGCTAATTAGTTTAATTTCACACTTTTGGATAATTTAGAATTTTTAATTTGTAGAATTTTTTTTTAATTAAAAGAAAAAGGAAAATTAACAAAATAAAAGAAAGAATTGGAAAAGAAAGGTTTGTCTTGTGAAATTGGGCCAAAATTAATGCTGAACCCAAAACCTATACCCAAATTTGCCCAAACCCAATAACTCACTCAAAGCTCAATCTCCCTACCCAAATACCCATTACCCCTTGCCCTAATCCTTCGCATAAAAGGGGAGCTAAGGCACAAAAATAGGGGGAATTTGGAGAGATCCCTGACCTTAGCAAAATACAGAGAAGAACCCAACGACGCTGCTCCCTCCCTCTGAACAAAAATCACACCCAGCTCCTTTCCTTTTTCTTCTGAAACTCCTTTCTTCCTCCTTGAAGATCCAGTCATGGAACTCAACTCACCCTCCTCATCTCCTTCTCCAAACCGCCCAGAAGCGCTATCTTCTCAGCCATAACCAGCTGAAAACCAACTTCAAACGCCTCCAAAACCGAACCCCCCTTGCCATCCGAGAAACAACGCCTTTGGCTGGCTTTTCCTTCCTCATAAACACATGAAAAACTAAAAAAAATCAAAAAAAAAAAAAAAAAAAAAAAACTTCAAAAAAAAACAGATAAGGAAAATGGTAGTGAAAGAGGAATTTCGAAGTTGTATTTACTTCACTGCTCTAATCTGCAATTTCTGGGTTATCAAGGAGTGGTTTGGTGTTGGATTGCTGTGATTTCTGTGGTATATTAGCTGAGCTCCAGCCTATATCTGTTTCAGAATTTATTTGGCTTTTGGGGTCTTTCTTTTCTTCCTGGCTTGTAAAGGTACAATCCCTATTGTTGATTAATTTTCAGATGTTTGTACTGTTTGAAAATTTGTGGGATATAGTTATTCAACTTCATGTGTGTTTCCTCTTCTTGTCTAATCGCTAATGCCTGAATATTTGTTGGTTAGTTAGTCATTTTTCTGATTAACCTACTATTCTTTGAATTAATAATTTGTGTTTAAGTTGGCATGGAGAAAGGATTATCATGGATGTTTAGGGTGTTTTCTTTTTTCCAGAAATAAGTCACAAACATGAGCTAGATCAGGGAAATAGAATCTGTTCATTTGCGGGAGTACATTGATTTTGATTTTGTGTCGTGAGTATGTGTAAAAATGATACAAGCTGTCTTTATGTATTCATGGAATTGATTCAAGTCAAATAGTGACATTCATGATACATACAAAATGTTTTAGATAAAATCATCAATGTCTTTGGCTATGCAGGTTTGATTTATAGCTAAATTTTGTAATATTAACACTCAATTGTCTTGAGCTATTTGTGCTTGAGTAATGAAAAATGGGCCGTTTCATGTTGCCGTGGTATTAGTTTTCCTTTAATCGTTTCCTATTTGCGGATCTATCACGTTTGGATTCATATTTTGAATAGTCTGAAGTTGGTTTCATGTGCTGATTAGAATTGATTTTGTCCCTTTTTCTTATGTACTTCATGTTGGCTTGAAATAATGGAATGACGGTGTGAATATTTTTTTTAATATGCAATTGGGCCTGCTGCGAGCCTAGGCCCTTCAAATAACCAAACGCTTTTTAAATTCGTTTGAGGCGTGCCATATTAAGTAAAATATAGCTTATGACCTCAAAAGCTTAGTTTGAGTTTTCCTTTAAAAATTGGAATCGAGGTGTGCCGTGCCAAATAAAATCTCAAACGCATGGCCCTCACTTAATTAATTTTAATATTTTAGAAATTCGGGACATGCCATTTAGCGAATTTTCATGGCTTCCCGCAAAGTTAATAAGACCCTAGCCACTTTAGGCGCGCTTTTTAATAATTTTACCTTCTTAAATACGGGTGTGCATTTCATGCGACCCAAATCCAAATCCCAAAACGTTGAATAAGAGGTGTCGAGGATCCGGGTGCATTTCATGTGACGTGATCCAAAAAACACGCTCTTAAACGGCGTTCACTTTCATAAAAAACTAATTAAAAGCGGTTAAACAAATTTATAAAATTGCATTATAGGTTGGAATATGTATAAAAATCAGATTTTAGCCATTTATAATAATTTAAGCGACCGTGCTAGAACCACGGGATCCGGGGGTGCCTAACACCTTCCCTCGGGTCAACAGAATTCCTTATTCAGAATTTCTGGTTCGCAGACTCCAATTGGGAAGTCGAATTTTTCCTCGATTTGGGTTTTAAGTTAAACCGGTAAAGCCAATTCTTTCCCAAGTGGCGACTCTAAAAAATAAATAAATAATCCCATTTCGAATAATGTCACTTTAAATGAAAAAACTCCCTTATACATTATCCTTCGGGGTAGGTGTGTAAAAAAGGGGCAGCTGTAAGCACGTGATTTTTGCCCTATACGAAATACTCCTATAAAATCCCCATAAAATAGATTTTTGTTAATTATTCGCCATTTTAGGAATTTTTATAGATTTTTATTAATTATTTGCATTTCTTGCATGTTTATGTTTTATTTAAATCATGAAAAATACCAAAAATATCACTCATAGCATTTATGATTTATTTTTACATTTTTAGAATACCAAAAATATCACTCTAGCACATATAGCATGGAACATGTATAAAAAATCAGATAAAGTCAAATATAACAATTGTACTAAGCTCGAATTCTTAAACCCTGAATCGAAATTCTGGGTTCGTTTCTCCAGCAGAGTCACCAGAGCTGTCACGCCTCCTTTTACACACCTACCCCAAAGGATAATGTATAAGGGAGTTTTTCCATTTAAAGTGACATTATTCGAAATGGGATTGTTTATTGATTTTTAGAGTCGCCACTTGGGATAGGATTGGCTTTTGGTGTCCCAAGTCACCGGTTTAATTTGAATCCCAAATCGAGGAAAACATTCGACTTCCCAATTGGAGTATGCGAACCAGAAATTCTGAATAAGGAATTCTGTTGACCCGAGGGAAGGTGTTAGGCACCCTCGGATCCCGTGGTTCTAGCACGGTCGCTTAAATTATTATAATTGGCTAAAAATCTAATTTTTTGCATGTTCCAACCTATAGTGCACTTTTATAATTATTTACCACTTCTAATTATTTTTATGAAAGCGAACATTGTTTAAAAACGTGTTTTCGGATCACGTCACATGAAATGCACCCGGATCCTCGACACATTCTTATTCAACGTTTTCGGATTTGGATTTGGGTTGCATGAAATGCACACCCGTATTTAGAAAGGTAAAATTATTAAAAAGCGCGCCTAAAGCGACTAACGAGTTATTATCTTTGCGGGAGGCCGTGAAATTCGCTAAACGGCACGCCTCGATTTCTAAAGAGTTAAAAATTAATTACATGAGGGCCATGGGTTATGTAAATCCATTGTGTCTTTTCACTTCTCATGATCAACAATCATCCAAACAAATTCATGTTCAGTAAGTAATTTCTCTTTTTGTGTACAAATTATTGCCTCTGTTCAATGCTTCAAACAAAAAAAAAATTGGTAATAACACTTCTGAAGTTCAAATTCATTTTGTAAAATGAAATTCTCGAATGGACAGATATAGTACAATCGTAAGACAATAAAAACCAAACTTAAACTACAAAAAGAAGCAAAATCTAAGAGTTTAACGAAAAACTTACTTCTTTCAAGAAATTTATCAAACACCTATTGTACAAACTCTTTTACCTACGGAGTTAATACACCCAATTTTTGACAAACAAAATCTTGCGTGCAGAGGAATTGTGCAACTCAGCTTATCAAATTCACGCCAATTCTCGACCAGCTTATTTTCCAATTGAAGAACGGAGTCACAGAATCTTATAGCTCAAATCATGAATATCAATAAATGATCGAACAAGCATAAAGAGGCAGACTATATTGAGAATTATTCAGTTCTCACGAAGGAAATACAAATCTGCCAAAGCTAGACGAAGATCCCGAGACCAAATCTCGAGCTAAAAAAATTTGTTGAACTCAAAGCGATTAGATAACCAACACAGTACTCATCGCTGAAAACAGGGATCGAATTAATTCAAATAGGTATCGTACTTGGATTTTTTTCCAACAATTTCAACCAATTTGAGATGAAATACACATCTCTTACACACTAGAATAATAGAGACCAGAACTGGAACAAATCTACAAGAAGCTAAAAGGAAAATCACAATTTTTGATCATTTGAATAAAGCATAAAACGAGGAAGTTTACACAACTTACCCGATCGAATAGAGCGAAGCTCGAACAAGCCAAATGAAGGCAGACACAAACTCGACGGAGCTCAGCAGCACAGCTTCAACGGAAAACTCAGCAACAGCAAGTCAATAAATTCGAACCTCAAATTCCAGATTCCTTTTGATTTTTGTTTGAAACCATTTTTTTCGGATTCGAGCTTCCTAATATGCTTGTGTATTTCGCGTGTGAGCTTGGGTGTGGAAATCTGGTCGTTCTTGTTGAGCAATGGAGAGGGGTGTGCCGATTATGTTCATAGGAGAAGGTCTCCTTCCATCGAAGATGATGAATGAAGAAGCAAGAAAAGGGAAGCAGGGGGTTTTGCCCCGTTTTTGGTGATGAAGCGGTCTGATATCTCCTAGCTCCAAGGTCTATGTAGGGATTAGGTGCTACAGGGGTAGAAATTAGGTTAGGGTATGAGCCTAGGAATTATGGGATAGGTAGAAAAATTTGGGCCTAATTTGGGTATAAGAACTAGCTCAATATCCAATTAAATCTTTTCTTTAAATTCTTTTTTTTATCTTTTTTTTTCTTTTCTTTAATTAAAAATCCTAAAATTAAAATCCTAGATTATCTAAAAATGTGAAATTAAACTAATTATAAAAACTATAAACATTACTTAATTCTAAATTAAAAGAGAAAAATTAATAAGCTAAAAAATCAAAAGACAAAAATGTAAAAATGAGCTATTTTTTGTGATTTTCGAATTTTTATAAGCAACTAATTACTGGTTAATTCTAAAAATGTAAAAACAAATCCTAAATGTAATGCATGATATTTTGGTATTTTTTCATGATTTAAATAAAACTTAAACATGCACAAAATGCAAACAATTAAAAATTCTACAAAAATTCCTAAAATGGCAAATAATTAACAAAAAATTTATTTTTCTTGGGATTTTATAGGAGTATTTCATATAGGGCAAAAATCACGTGCTTACAGATAGTAGTCTGCTAAGCCTAGAAAGCTACGAACCTCTATCGGAGTGGTAGGTCTAGGCCGGGATTTCACGGCCTCAATATTCTGAGTGTCTACCTTTATACCTTCATCGGATACAATATACCCCAAGAATGATACAGAATTCAACCAGAACTCACATTAAGAGAACTTAGTATACAACTTACGATCATGTAAGGTTTGGAGTACCGTTCGCAGGTGGTCTTTATGCTCCTCCTCTGAACGTGAATAAAATAGAATATCATCAATAAATACTATCACAAACTGATCTAAAAATAGCTGGAATACACTATTCATCAAGTCCATAAATATGGGGGGTGCATTTGTCAACCCGAAGGACATGACAAGGAACTCGAAGTGGCCATATCGGGTCCTGAAGGCTATCTTCGGAATATCTTTCTCCCGAACTTTGACCTGGTGGTATCCCGGCCTCAAATCTATCTTTGAAAAACATCTATCCCCCTGTAACCATTCAAACAAGTCATCGATCCTTAGAAGTGGATACTTATTCTTAATAGTTACCTTGTTTAGATGCCTATAATCGATACACATCCTCAGCGAGCCATCTTTCTTTTGCATAAATAGCACCGGTGCACCCCAAGGGAAGGTACTGGGCATGATGAATCCTTTCTCCAGCAAATCTTTTAACAGCTCCTTCAACTCCTTAAATTCGGCAAGTGCCATTCTATATGGAGGGATGGATATTGGTTGATTTCCTGGAAGCAAATCGATGCTAAAATCAATCTCTCGCTTTGGAGGAATACCTGGAAGCTCATTTGGAAACACATATGCGTACTCTCAAACTAGTGGAATAGACTGAAGTGTAGGTATCTCACCATCTGCATCTCTAACTCGCACAATATGATAAATGCACCCTTTTGTGATCATTTTCCTCGCCTTCAAATAGGAAATAAACCTCTGGGTGTCGCTGTATAACCCACCTATTCAAGGACTGGCTTACCCGAAAAATGAAATCTGCCTGCCTTTGCTCAGCAATCAACTGTGGCATAGCCTGCTGACAACCAGTCCATGCCCATGATAGCATCCAAATCCTTCATCTCTAGCTCAACTAGATTGGCTGAGGTCTGACGACTACAAACTGTCATTTACAACCTCAGTAAATCCGTCTAGAAATTATTGGTTCTCCAACCGGTGTAGCTACTGTAAAAGGATCACATAGTGTATCAGGAACTATACCAAACTTCCCCGCGACAAATAGGGTAATATACGATAAAGTATATCCTGGATCTATCAAGGCATAAGCATCGTGAGAGCAAATGGTCGATATACCTGTCACAACGTTTGGTGAAGACTCCTGGTCCTGTCGACCTGCTAAAGCATAGATACGGTTCTGATTACCACCTGAACTGGAACCTCTACCTCTGCCTCGACCTCTACCAGCTGAAGACTGCGACTCGCGCCCTGAAGGATACACGGACATAGATGATCTTGTTGTTGAACTCCTTGGTTGTGCCATACCCCCTCTCTATTTGGGCAATATCGCATCATATGCCCCGGACGCCAATGATATCCATACTATGCTGGTTAACTCTAGGGCCAACCCTGCTATAAACCTATGGATCCTGTCCCGCATAGTAGCAACAATGGATGGAGCATATCTGGTCAATCAGTCAAAACGGAGGCCATACTCTCGAACGCTCATATTGCCCTGCTTGCGGGCTAGAAATTGATCGACTCGAGACTGTCAGATCTCTTGCGGTAAGTACTGGTCAAGGAAGGCATCTGAAAAATTCTCCAAAATAGCTGGAGGTGCATCACATCCCCTGAACCTCTCCCATCCCTCTTACCAAAGGACGACTATATCTCAGAGTCGAAAAGCTACCAGCTCAACTGCCTCTTTCTCTGTGGCATGAATAATCCGAAAGATCCTGTAAAGCTGATCTATGAAATTGTCACGCCTCAAACCTAAAGAGGCATGGCCGGAACCCAATGCCATAACCGGCCCGAGCGTACCACTCTGTAACTGTGAACTCTAGAGGGCAACCCTCAACTTAGGGTGATGAGGCCATATTCTGAATCGTCTGAAAATAACGCATCTCTCATCTGTAGGGTAAACATACCCAAAAGCTGATATATATATATATATATATATATATATATAAATTGTGCAAGCCGACGAAGCTGTCATGAACATTTACTGATATACAAAATATACAGGACTCATCCACAATAGAGATAACTATACTGTATCATGGTCGGGACGACCTACCCATCAAACATGTATATATAAAATAGTCTCCAAGGTATAGACCTGACAACTCCGAGGAAGGGGAGCTTACCAACCAAGCTGATGTTTGACTCTGTCTACTAGGAAGGTCTATCTAGGTGTCAAGCAGGACCTGCAGGCATGAAATGTAGCGTCCTCGGCAAAAGGGACGTCACTACAAAATAATGTACCGAGTATGTAAAGCAACAGAATAACTGAAAGCTGAAACTGAACTGATAATATAATAACTAAAAGTAATTGGGAGTCAAAGATAATCTGAAGATATGCTTACCTGCTGATACTGACTCAACTCTCTCGATATAGTAAGTAAATAGTTGTCCGGCCGTATAAGGCTCGGTATGTGTAACTACTGTGCCGTAGTAGGCTCGCTCATAGGCGTTCGGCCATACTAGGCTCTATATCTTGGCCAACTGGGCTCACTCATAGGCGCTCGGCCACAGTAGGCTTGATATATAACTTACCATCTGATATGAGCTGCCCATAGGGGCCTGCCACCGATTATAGCTCGATGGTGGTAAAAATACTGTAATACTGTATATATATATATATACGTACAGACTTAATTTATTTTACGTTGTTGTAGAAATAGTTGATGGATCTATAATCTGGCCATCTTTCATATTTTTTTAATTTATCACTCTTTGAACTGTAAAAATATTTAGAGAGTTTGGCTAAGTTCTATACAAGTACGTGTTTTATTGCATTTTATTCTGATAGTGACTTTTATATGACATTAAAAAAAATACCGAAAATTAACCGAACCGTACCGATATCGAAGAGTAACCGACATGACTGGACGGTTTCGAAAAGTTTAATCTTGGTTATACATAATAGAATAACCGAAAAATTGATATGATACAAAATTTATAAAATAACCGACCGAACCGAACCATTGACACCCCTGAAGCAGATACGCAATATAGGGAAAAACACATGCACAAACTAAACATTTTTTCTTCCAAAAGTTGCTGCTGACTTCTCACACCCTTTACACCTAGTTGCAAAATTTATGGACATATTCCTGTGAACTGATAATTATATACGAATAATTAGCAAGAAAATTCAAAAGATACAAGGATCAAAAGAGAAGAAGAAAAAAATGTGTGCCAGGATTTTAAATTTGAATTCGTCTTTGAACAAGAAAAAATATATTAAGTTGGTCTCAAAGGATAAAATCGAATGATCTGACTAGATCCTTAGATATTTATTGGATTAGTTACTTGCGTCGGATTGAAGTGGAAAAAAAAAATAGAATCGTGATTTTCTCTTTTATCCCAAACTTGATTTATATGGTTTGGTCTAGTCTTGTTTTTCGTAATTTACTTTTTTTGTCTAATAATTTTTTTTTAAAGAAATATGCTTACAACAATATCTGAGGCTCGCCTCACAAGTATATAAGTTCCTAATAGGGATTCTAGTATATAAACTCCACCACCCTTAAGAAAACTCAACCAATAGACAATGAAAACAGTAAACATGATGTGACTGTTAGGGCATATACTATTAACCATACATTTAGATATAATATATTCTAATAATTGTCATGGTTAAAAGTCTAAGTGGGAGATTGTTGGGATATATACTATTAACCATGAATTTTGGTTTGGATATAGTATTTATTATGGAACAATTGTTTATTCAATTTTAATAAAGTTTTAAATAGATCATATATTCGTTTGTGTCATTTACTTATATAGTAGATGATTTAGTGTATAGAGTTTAGCTTATACACAGAAGATTAAATCATCGGTTCTTATAAGTATAAAGATCATGTTCACAATCTAATGATGGAATTGGACAAACTATCAGGAATGATTGTAGCACAAGATTAAATGTATTTTATCTTGATTATGGGAATTGTCTAATTCCGACTTCTTGTGCTAGTACATTTTGTATATATTGAACGGACCAAGTAGAGATAAGTATTTTATACTGACTTAATAAAATAATTTCTCTAGCCATTAAATGTACTTATAGTCTTAGTCTTGATATAATTATTATTAGTTGTGTATATTGTTATTGTTTTGATTTATTAAAAGACAAGATTCTTTCGTGGTCAATATGCCTGGTAAATTGAACAATAATGATATACATTGGCAAAGTAATAGTTAGTTGATGGAATCCATGTCTCGGTCTAGAGATTGATGATACACCTTTATGAAAGCTTATAAGTTTTCATGTGTAAACCTGCAGGTGGATTTTGTA